CACCCAGTCAGAGGGTGATTCAGAGCCAAAGGAAAACAGGAAAACTTTGTCATTTGCTTCTAGAAAGTCGTATCCACCAAAGCCACAGACATGCCTGAGGACCTACCCATCCCATGGACCCACTGCTGTCAAGTGGATTCCGACTCATAGTGACCCCATGGGACACAGCAGAACTGCCCCATAGGTTTCCAAGGCTATAATCTTTACAGGAAGCAGACTGCCGCATCTGTCTCATGTGGAGCGGCACCAGGGCCCCTTGAGAAGTTACGCAGCCCTGTTAACATACACTGACCTATATACGTGGACCATAAAAGACGAGAGATCGCAAAGGAAGCTGCTGCCGCCACTGCTGCCAGAGTCGCAAGAGCCGTAGAAATCAGCTAGGGCTTGCTGACCCAAAGCCCCAAAGAAACAGGCAAAGGGCCAGGATGAAAGGGGCATCTCAAGCACCACTTTGGTGTGTTTCCACGGATCAAGATTTCCTTATATTCTCACCATCCAGAAAGGACAGGCACTTCCAGGTGGATTAAACCTTTTGCTGGTGATTCTGTTTTTGCTCTGGCAACACCGCTCACTACCTCCGCTGCTACCTTTGTAGCCTAGAACTCCTTATTTTTATTTGTCACTCAGGTTCCCATCAGGTATAAGCAGGTAAGTCACCAAGGAGCTCAAGGAAGTCTATCAAACAATTCAGAGCTTTTTACAGGGGTTTCCCACACAGGCAACATATTTTGTGCCTTATAATGTGTTAAAGGCACCATTTGGCATCTGACAACAGATCTGGGAATGTCACTCTTAAGTTTAAAATAAAAGCAAACACCTGCAATAAACTCTCAATGGTTCAGAATAAAGTGTAAATTCCACAGCCAGATATATAAGGCATATCAACACCTACTTTGTACTTTTCTTCATCTGTGTTGTTTTTCTCATTACTTTATTGCTGAAACACCTATTCCTCCATCTGAAAGTTAAGATCCTACCCAGCCATTAAAGTTCAGTTCAATTTAAATAATTCTCAAGAATCCTTCATGGGTATCCCCAGTCAATTGTTAATTTATTTACCCCACCCTCTATCAGAAACGTAGGACTTGGTTTGTGCCTCGGATCAAAGCATGATGTTTAAGGCATATTTTACCATGGAATTCTTTAATTTGATTTATGTACTCATCTCCTCAATTTGATTCTGAAGTACTGCATTTGATCCATCCCTTTATCCTTCAACATTGCATCCTCTGTAACAGTCACCCACAAACATTTTGTTGAATTGAAAAAAATCAAGAGACTCAAACATCAAAAAGGGACTTGAATGTATGCTTTCCAGGCCCTATACACCTGAAATCCTATGAGACGTTCTCTGTCCTTGACTCAGTCCTAAGCAATGTTATATACCTGCATGGGCTGGCTGAAAATAGGAAAAAATTACCAAGTGCATCATCAGATGTCAAGTTCTAAGGCTATAATCCCTATCACATGTAACTGATGCATAGTAGGTATCCCATAACTTTGAATGAATGATTAGATAAAGAATAACCAAATGAATTAATTAAATAAGTGACTAGTAAATGGTCCCTCCAAACCACACAAGCCCTGAGGTCAAATAGATCCTGATATAAAAGTAAATTCCTCATTTGTTGTCCAAGATTCATCCTTTCCCAAGATTTATCCTTTCTCATCAAAATGAAAATTCTCAAAATAAGAATTCTTGACGCTAAATATTCATTTGCTTTTTGCAAAGAAAAACTAAGTTGATAGTATCGAGAACTAGGGGTGCTGAGCAAAACTCCTGCTGCACCTGACCCTTTCCAAATTTAAGTATGTGATCCCCTAGTCTGAATGTCAGAGCCTCACAGGCTGATGGGGGACTAGAGCAGAACTATGTACACAGGCCACCTGGTAGAGTGGGGAGAAGGTCAAATTTGAGAGTCCTCAAATTCAGTAAGAGCTCTGTCAGAAACTACAGCCTCCGCACCTCCTTGGGTCTCAGTTTCTCCATTGGCAAACAGAGGGAGTCAATTCATAGAGCAAGTACTTGAAAGGACCGTTACCAGATGCTTGGCACCAGGGTTGGACGAGATGATCTCTAAAGTCCCTTTCAGCTCTGAAAATCTTAGAATTCTTATAGTCACACTTAGTAGACATTCTTTTGGCTCTGATATGAAAATCTGGCTGGAAAGATAAACAATCCTCTACATAAAAACACACATTTACCAGCTATAATTTGGACTTGGCAACATGAAGTTGAACCATGGCTGAGAGGAAAAAGCACGCAATTCTCTCTAGTGATCGTATTACTTTAGGTGACATTATAAATCCTATCTCAAAGACAGTGCAAATATGGCCGTTGAGGGGCTAAGCCATTATCAGATCTAAGTCAGCACTACGCAGAGGTGGGCATGTCCATTTCCTTTTGACCTCACCAACAATCTTCCATATGAAGAGTCTCAAAAAATAACACGCCTCTCCCTACCAGATTTGCCCTTCCCCATTTGGCAAATATCATTTCATTTTTTTTATTCTCCTCCCTTCTGTTTTGCAGAGAACATAAGCCAACATGGCAACAGGCTTTTTGTTTATTTCCTTCCTTTTCAAAAATAAAGCCATGCCTACAGTACAGTTAACAGGGCAAAGTCCACACAGAAAAAGACTTCTTGCAATTCTATGAAAGCCCTTTGTTTGATTTTTTTCTTAATGGGACCCATTGGCAAAGCCTTATTATTGTCATTGTTATTTTTACGTAATAAGAGTTCTTAATAGCATCAAAGTATCTCTATAGCTATTTCAGCAGAACAATTCCAAATCCATCTGTATTTCATTTAATTCTAAGAAGCAGGTATATTTACCTTCTTTTTATTTATGAGGAAAGTAAGATTCCATGACTTGCTCGAGATCCTACAGTGAGAATAAGCTGCTCAACTCACACTCAAACACAAGTCTTCTTTCACTAGCACAATCTTTGTCCAACTAAAGATCGAAAACGCAACAAAATAGTTTCCATAACGATCCGACACAGAAAATAGGCTGAGTGAATTGTTTAATTGTGTAAATTAAACAACATGCAAAGACCCACCCTCCAACAAAACAAGAGTACAAATGTAGATAAACAGCACACTTCAAGAGTTTTATTTTCTTTTTCATTTTTCATAAAAAATAACTACAAATAAAGGATATTGATTATATTATTTTATTTGTCCAGGGATCTATCAGTTACGTAAAATAAATAACCACTTGGTAGGACTCCTGGCCATTACTAGAATCTGATTTTTTTTTTTTTTAAATTTTACTAGCTTACAGCAAAATAAAATACGTAGAAAATGGTTCACATATTTATCCAAGACATGAAATTTTTGATAGCCTTTAAAAGATCTAATCCCCAAACTGAATCGGAACTTACTGGTTACAACTGGAACTAATTTCAACAGATCAGTAATATAAAAAGCATCTATTTCTTAAGATTGACTACATGAAAATATACTCCCAAAGGCTCCCTCCCTCCTCTCCTCCTGGAAGTTTCTGTTTAATTTTCACCTTCGCAGTGAGGTGGTCGTAACCATGCCCACCCTGGGTAAGCCATACCTCTTTTACTGCCCCTCCCCGCCCCCCAACCACGGCCCCTATTCCATTCCAAGGTACTTTGTAACATATGTATGTTGTTTACTTCCATTCCAAGTACCATGAGCACAGAACTGTGTATGTCTTATTTGTTACAGAATTCCTAGTTCTAGAACAGTGCCCAGACAGAACAGGAACGCAGACTATTCACTGAATGAATGAATCATTTGTTCCTTTGTCTCCCCTAACCTCAAATTTTGCAGAAAGAAAGCCAGACCAAGGACTGAACAATTTAAGCAGTTACTTCTTATGGTTTTCCTTTTAAAACTTCTTGTTATGGGAAATTTTACATATATATGTATAAAGATAGATTGAATAAGAGAATAAACCTTCATACACTCAACAATTATCAGTGGATAATTTTTTCATCTATATTTTCATTTAGCTGCCCCCTACTCTTATTATTGTGATGTAAACACAGAAACCATTGCATTTCATCCACAGCTATCTCCATACGTTTCTCCAAAAGATAAGGATTCTTTCTTTCCCAACATATCTATAATAACATCATAACCCTAAAAAAAAAACAAATCCATTGCCGTCAAGTCGATGTCGACTCATAGCGACCCTACAGAAACCCTATAGGACAGAGCAGAGCTGCCCCATAGGATTTCCACGGAGCGGCTGGTGGATTCGAACTGCCAACTTTTTGGTTAGCAGCTGAGCTCTTAACCACTGTGCCATCAGGACTCCAAAATAACGCACCTAAAAAAATTACAATAATTTTACAGCTTTATCATTTAGTTTTCCTTCCTGACGTAAATGACATCTTCAGCTTCAATCATGACAACGGGTCTCCAGCGTCCCCACCTACAAAGACAGTCTGAGAACTACTTCTGATGTCCTTTCTGCTTCCAGTCCTGAGTTACTCTGCAATCAGCACTTTCTGGAGCACAAAAGTTCTGGGTCATCCATACATTTTTAAAATGCGCATCCTTGAAATCACCCAGAAGAGAAAACCAGAGGTTTCTGCTGTTGCTTTTGCTAGAAAGATGTTGCTGACCAATTAAGACCCACAGTGATTAACCAAAGCCTTAAAATACCGGTCTTACTCTTCAGGATACAGTGTTTTTGGATAGAGAAAAAAAAAGGCATGATTGTGTGCCCCAGAATACTAAGAAAACACAGACTTCTCAAATGGCGTCCCTAAAAAATGGCTTTCAGTTTCAAAACAAAATTAGTTGGTAAAAGGATTTCCAGGGCTTCAGAGTGTAGGCCAGGAGAACTCGGAAAGGCTTAAGCTGGCATTTTGTGTTAAAGTATCTCAGCTCTTTCTGAATATAAAGCTCCCTGCAGGATCTGGAGGATCTGGATAAGTATTTATCCACCACAGAAACAATCATGACCTTCCTAGCATGGCGTATAAACACGACTTCAACCACAGATCTTACCTGCACTCTGAAAGCACCTTCCTCAAGGGGTGGTGGAGGAGGGAAGTTTCCAGAGCCAGGTGGAAGGGCACTGGGATCATCCAGAGGTGGAGGTGGAGGTGGAAGAAAATCCCCTACAGAAAGGAAACACACACATGGAGTTAATATGAATGTGATTCATAGCACTCTAAAAAAAGACATACATTTGCTGGCATGTTACTACTGCTGGGTAATTGTCTTTGACACAATTTTCTGCTTTGTACAGCAATTATTCCCCATCTTAGTTCTCTTTAGTTTAATTAGTAGCCCTAGATTTTAGAAGAGGACCAGATTTGGTACTGAGAAGAAGAGGAGAAGCTAATCTTGCTTCTATTTACCAAGAGCAGGGAAAGTGCTTCGGGTGGGGGGTTCCTGAGGTATGTAACACCGCTGCTTACAACAAACTTTACAATCAAGGAGAAAAGGAAGGAAAAAAAAGTGTACGCAAGGATAACATAAGATGCAATTTATTGAGATGCACAAACAAATGCTTCTGGATATTAAGATAAAAGAAAGTTTATGTCCAGCTGGAGGAGCAATGAGGGCTTCACTGAACCACTTAACTTGTCCCTGAACTTTATAGTGTAAAGACCAAGTTCAATCTAGGCAGAAAGACAAGAGAATAAAGGCATAGAGGTGAGAAAATTCAGAGCATAGCGGATAAAGAGTAAGTTACCATCTGCATAAACATAGGAACGTAAAATAATAGCTACTGGGTTATAAAAATTAGAGAGGTGATGAAAATAAGCTTTTAGATAGACTGCATGCCTAGCAAACGGTGTGAATTTTCTAGTGCACACAACGGAGATCCACCCAGGATTTCTAAGAAGGAAACACTTGGTTACAACTATGATTTACTGAAAGCAAATCGCAAAGTACATGCTAGACAGATTAGAAAAAACTGGAATAAGAAACAGCAGATTCGGAAACCTACACAGAATATAAATTGGAAATTACGAACTTTCGGGATGCTAGTAAACCTCAAAATCTACGATCAAGAACAACAGCATGAACAACACTAAAGTTAGAGTTGTCGGAAGAGCGCACCTAATCCCTAAGGGTTGGGGTATACACATACGCTCAAGAACTCTACGGGTTTAGGGTATGGAATCTTTTTTTTTTTTTTAATATTCACTGCATGCAATTCTATTGGGAAAATGAAAACTTCCAATTTTTTTAGTATTTTCTCTATTTGCTTTTTTTAAAAAAAAAAAAAAATGTTTTTGATGCATTGGGAAATGTTGTCCTCTATGAATAAGTAGCTTTCCTTGCATTTCAACTGTTCAACAATTATTGGTAGGACAGCTGTCTCTATCATTTAATGAGTTCCTTTTGGATTGTTTCAAAATACCACATCTGGGGTCTCCAGAAAAAGAAGAGTCTAAACAGCACAGTGGAAGGATGGATAAGTTGGTTTGTTCTGATACACTTTTGAAATGGTTCACCTGGCCTCCATTTGTCTTATAAATTAGTCTTGGGCTATGATATTACTATATTAGTCCTATTTTATACCCACAGAATTAGAAAGGTCCAATAACCTCTTACTTTTCAGAGTACACAGATTTGGAGACATACTTTGTCCATGTCCTTAGTAGAGTAATAAATCTCTTAAGTGAATTTTATACTCTGGAGAAGTACCAGACAGTGCACGTTTCATGCATTGTTTAGCATCTAAACCTTTATTGACTCCACTCAGTGCTTCTGAACCTTGGCTACATATTACAATCACCAAGGATGGTTACCTAAAAATGCTGATGCCCAAAACTCCATCTCACACCAATTCAATCAGAATCTTGAGGGTGCGTCAAAGGGGGCGGAGAGGAGGGGCTAGGCATCAGTATTCTTTTAAAACCCAAGTGGTTCTAATGTGTTGCCAGGATTGATAAACCCTCATTCAGGCTTTAGTTGGCCATTGACTACACTAAAAACACTTGACACCTGTTGAATAAATAAAGAACTGTCAGGAAATTCTTTTCTGTCTTGAAAAGTTACTATGTATGAGAAGAATGCCCACAATGACATCTTATGTTGGAGACTTGAGTGTCCAATTCTTACAGCCCAATGTTGAGGTTCAAATGCTCTGTCTCAATCTATGTCTTCTTCAAACTCACTTTAAAAGAGGATTTCTGAGCACCATCTTATACTTCACCAGATTGTGCTATGTCATAGAAAATTGCCCAGAGCATCATACAATACCAGACCTAAAAGAAATCCTGAAGATAGTCTTATAAAGGCAAAAACTGAGGCCCACAAATCTACATGAACAGTCTAAAATCTCTCAGCAAATTAGTCCCTTCCAACTATATCCTCCTTTGTTCTGTTTCTTTGCCTCAAAGAACTTACATATAGTGAGACACAGGTTGACGATAATCACTGGAGGGTGAAAAAGAACAGAGAAGGAAAATGCAAAGTATTTTTTGAAGAACTAACTTGAAAACAACACAAATTTAAATCACATATTATAAGCAAGATTAGGCAGAATTTGAGAAGTCCTAGTCATAACCTCATAATAATTATTTTGCTTTATTTAGTGTAGCTATTAAGGGAGGCCAAAGCTTTCAGTTCTTCAAGCTCAATCATCAAAGGCTTCCTATTGCCTTCTTTAGAATGGAGCTCACGTATTAAAAGGATGCAGAGAAACAGGAAAATAGCTAGACAAGAGAAACAAACATGATAAAACAATAGAAAAATGGGTCTTTGGAGGAAAGCAGGAACTAATTGGGATAGTTGGAATGAAAAACTCGTAATTATTATCCTAAATCATAGTTAGAGTCGTTATGAGGATGTGTAGTTCACCATTCCAACAGACAAGTAAACAAGAGGAAATGCTTCTAAACTACAGGAAGAATAAGAACATCCTAAGAGAGAAGGCAAAATTTTCAAGCTTTAGGAAGATGGCTAAGTAGAAAGAACAAAATGCTTGTGTTTTAGAGAGAGGGGGGCAATCCTTTCCATCTAATAGATTTTTGTTTTGTTTTATTGTGGTACAAATATACAAAACAAAACCTTCACCATTTCAACAAATTCCACATGTACAATTCAGTGGCGTGATTTACATTCTTCACGTTGTGCAACTTTTGTCGCTATCCTTTTCCAAATTATTCCACCATGATTAACATAAACTCAACTCCCCCTAAGCAAAAACTCCCTCTTTCCCTCTCCCTCCCGACATTGGTAACCATTAATAATCTTTGGTTTTTATATCTTTGCTTATTTCATGTAAGTGAGATCATGTAAGGAGCCCTAGTGGCATAGTGGTTAAGCGATCGGCTGCTAACCAAAAGGTCAGCAGTAGAACCCACCAGCTGCTCCACAGGAGAAAGACCTGGAGATCTGCTTCCATAAAGATTTACAGCCTTGGAAACCCTATGGAGCAGTTCTACTTGGTCCTATAGAGTTGCTACGAGTCGAAATTGACTCGACAGCAATGGGTTTTTGTTTTTTACAAGAGATCATACACTATTTGTCCTTTTGCAACTGACTTATTTCACTAAGCATAACGTTTTCAAGGTTCATCCATGTTGTGGCATGCATCAAGCCTTCATTTATCTTCATGGCCAAGTAATATATCATTATATACCACAGTTTGCTTACCCATCATTTGCTGATGGACATTTCGTCCATCTAACAGATTTTTGAAACCAATGAAAGAGAAGTCATTTGTCTTAGATGCTTAGGTGAAGAACCTCTTGGAGAAAAACAGTGAAGGGAAGAAACTGCAGTTCTCCCAGCTAGCAATTCTAAGCTGTAGACTTCATATGTGTATATAATCTGTCCTACCTGCCTTGATGGGAAAATCCAAATGGAACTCTCAGACCCTGTGACCCAAAGGGACACTGAAGAAATCAAGCAGGAAGGGCAAACAAAGAAGATGCCATCAGGCAACTGGGGCAGCGCAGTGATATATAAAACCAAGGACAGAAATACTAGTTTCAGAGAAGGTGAAGAGCCTCAGGCACCTGGCTACAAACACTGTTCCCTCCTTACCCATTTCCTTACCAGCCAAAACATGTCCGGATATGAAGTACACTTGCCACTCAATTTCCATGTAAAATGATTTACTCAAAGTTACACAGCTAGAGTTATACAGGGATGGGAAGGGCACTTTATTCTGCCTTGAATTATGAGTCAAGTTGGGAAGGATCATGCTTAATTTGCTCCAAAGCATCCCAAATCATGGAGCTATATTCAAACGGCTTTTGCTTTGCACCAGAGGTAGCCCCATGAGGCAGTTGGGAAATAAAGTATATTCCTGTTTCCAAACACTAGTTTATACCAATTTACTTCATAAAATAGCTCGTTAGGCATAGTTTTAACTTGAAAAGGGAGTGGGGGAAGCTTCTAAGAACCCTGCTATGCATATTTTGCTAACCAGTTGACCTCGAGTTGACACCAACTCATGGTGACCTCATGTGTGTCACAGTAGAACTGTACGTTGTAGGGTTTTCAGTGGCTGACTTTTGAAAGTAGATCAGCCGACTTTTCTTCTGAAGCACCTCTGGGTGGAGGTGAACTTTCAACCTTTCAGTTAGCAGCCAAGCATATTATAAAAAGACAGCAACACTGAGAAGCAGTTGGAGCCAAAGCCATGGTACAAGACCCGGAAAACTGGAACCAGCTGAGTTTTAACTGACTGTCGTTACCCTAGCAACATAGGTTGGGCATAGAGGAAAGCATCTATGTAAATACAAAATTCGCTTATCACTTCATGAAATAAAGCTTCCAATAAAGAAAAAATAAGAAGAAGAATTTACATGCATCCAGAGTAATAAATCACTGGATAGACATGATTGTAATGAAAAGGCCAAGGGAGCAATTCAGCTCAGATCATCAGTGAAGTCTGGATTCATTTATTCCCTTTCTTCTTCGTCCAAACACCCATGTAAACCTACACACATACCCAGGGATTTAGACAGCACCTGCCTTTTGTGCCTGTAATAGATCTCTCATAGCTGATTGCATTTATGTGTTAACAGGTCACCCTCCCCTAGTTAGAACTCAAGAGTTTCTTACAAGTAGAGCCTACCCATAACTGATCTTTATATCCCCACCACCTGGCATAAGGCTTGGGACACAGTGCGCACTCAGTAAACGT